TGGTGCTGGATTTCGGGCAATCAAGAATGGTGGAGAGTTGTCATGTGGATGTTTATTACAGGAAAAGGCTGGGAGATAATATCATATATTTGCATCCTTTATTTTTATTTGTTGGTCATACTGCAGATCAGACGAGAGGTATGTTCGAGACTGATACACCTTTTCCGGTTCCACTTTTCTTAACTGATTTGTAATTCACAAAGAGAAACAAAAGAAATTTGTACCCCGTGAAAGGGAGTTTGGATCATGGATACATTAAAAATTTGACAAATGCTTTAGTTTCTCCTCCTTTTGGCGAAAAAATCCCTTATCAAACACCGGTTCATTACTTCGCACGATTTCAGGCGTGATTGGCGCGCGCTCGTAAAACATGGAGGCCTTTGCCCTTTGCCTTGAGGCTAGAGCTTCCCAGAGTGGTAAATCTTCATTTTCTCTTAAAACAGTATGGTGAACTATCATTATCTTTCCCTCCCTCTTTTCTTTTAAAATGATCAGTGATGTTTTTTTCTCTTGAATAATATAGACTAATTCTCAGTGCAGAAAACTAAACAATTGTCGGAAGCGTGTTCAAAGCATGTACTGGTAAACATAATCTTATTGGTATTTTAAGGAATTATTTTGAAAATACAGGATGCTTGTTGCCCCTAAATGAGAATGGGGACCCCCATATTATTTCAAAATTTAGGCTTCTATTACATAGACAACCAATCGGCAATGTTAGACAAAAATCTCACTGCAGGTTCTATTTTGGAGGAATGACCTTAGTTAAGAGTGTGCCATTAACTCCACAGTGACCTCACAAGACTCAGCTCTCTCTCAACAGATTGTTAACGTTATCTTTGAAGGTGTGCTTTGTACAGGTTTTGTGTTCGTGTCTTAGCGGTAACTTGCATTAAATGTAGACATGGATTCTGTGAATAGTAGCTGATTAAGACTGAGGGACTAAATGGGAAGCCATTGATATGAAAAGAGGTACTAAGGTATATAAAAATATATTACCATATTATACATTTCTCTTAGTACCGTTATCACTGTTAAGGGGCAGGAGTACTAAACAGGTTTTTGTTAGAAGAAGCTCCACAAACTACCGTTTTTATTAGAGCTTTTAACTCTTACCTTAATCTTTATTCTTTTTTATTTTTTACCTCGTGACCTTTAGGTGAGACTAGGATTCATTCCGGGTGGAGATTTTCTCACACCAAAGGCTCTCGAAGTAATAAAAAGAGCAGAACGCAAATTGACCTTCATTCCTATGGTATTCATTTTCCTGCGTATCTGGGGAACCGTACGATTTTTTCGTTTCTTGTGTTATCACCCAGAAGACCCGCCAGCAATAGAGGTTCTTGTTTTCCTTCATGTAAGTGGAATTATTATATACACTATGAAAGTTGATTTTATGGCTTGTATTGGGGATCGATGGAACAGGGACAAGATAGTCTCCCACGCAGCCGTTTTTGTCTCGTCAAGCAAGTGTTTCCGTCTTTTCTCGTCCTCACGGCTCTTGTTGGGTCGAGCGCTGCGTGACAAGTAGCCCGCGAGCAAGCTCTCCTTTTTAAAAGAGCGGGAAAGGGGTGGGGAAGAAAGGAAGGAAACGCTTGCAGACAAACCCCTAGCCTGCGAATACAGTCGTTTCTCCAGTGCACCTTGCCGCTTGGGACGTTTTGTCAGAAAGAACGTCTGCGCCTCAGCGACAAAAATGCCATTAATTCAAACAAAACAAGAGAAAAGTTTAAAAACATTATCTTGACTTTAATTCTTTGAGGAAATTTATGGAGATCAATGTACAACATTGTACAGTTCACCCTTTCATTCCGAAACCGCTGAGTTATCGTGGGAGGGTTTATTTGTCATTTCAACCTTTGATTCTTTTAACAAAATCCTATGTTCCCATCCGAATAAAATGTCTTTTCTCGGACCTTTTTATGGTACTATTATTCTGTTTCTGACTGAGGATTCAGTATGAAAAGAAGTGTAGAATTTTTTGTGAATTTTTGCGCTTGATTCTCAAACGTCATTACGCAGGGAAACCGTTAGAAAGGTTGAGGATGGTAGAACTCCATAATATATAATTATTTTATTCTTAATCGGTCTCTTTTATATTCTTCTTTTCAGGGCATCGGGGACAGCAGTCAAGGCTTTGCCAATTTTGTTCTGTTTTGCTTACTCACTGATCACGTCAGAAAAAAATTCAGACTTTGTTGGGTGCGGTTTACACCATGGTATCACTATCTGGAGAAGGATCCACTGTTTGAGAGTACAAACTTTCCACTGAATGAGACAACGGACTTTAGTTCAAACTCTTATGGAGCAGGCGATTTCCTGTCTGTTTATTCAATGGATGATTGACTGTTTATTTACAGACTTTCTTAAAGTAAATAGCATTCGTTATCGTAGTTGCTAGCAAGTATGGTTTGAGACTCTTGTTGTTGACCAGTTACATGGCAAACCGGTTGTCCACGGTTTAGGTAGATGGCATAAGCAAAATTTAGGACTGGCATTTGATAATTGCGATTACCACTGATCTGCACAAATCAGTTCCATTTACCGAAAAACAGCCGCGAAAGCGGGAAACTGGTATCAAAGATGGCTTTGAAGCTCCGTTTGGAACATTCCTACCAGGAAACCAAGACTGTCTTTTCAGATGGTCCGTCGTTCCCAAAAATTTTCCACTGAAAGGCCCGAAAAGTTCTGTTCTATTGTTCCTTCCAACCAGGTTTTCTTGGAAACTTTTGCAAATGGTAAAAAAACTCTAAGTCCAGTTATGTTAGCGGATGGCATTTACTCATCTGTAGATAAAATTTGACATAGACCAATTTATTTTCATCTTTGTGATCTTTTTCATTCGCAAGACTAAATAGACAAACAGGACTTAAGTTAGTAGAAGAGCCAGACTTGGTTAGTAATATCGTAAAAGGTAACCTGAGAAAAGAGACGACATTTCGGGACGCCACCAGCGGTTTCCCCTCGAAAAGACGTCTGAGAGAACAGTGCAGAAATTCCGTCATACTGATGACGCGTCACTACCCTGATCTGGATACTGTTTCTGATGGTTCGGGCTGCGTGTGAAATTTGCGTCAAATCAAATCTTCAAAGGCTGCAATGTTAATTAAACTGGCAGGGCTTTAGCTATTCATTATTAACTAAATGCTTTCAAGGTTTTTTTAAGGCTTGTTATTTTTGCACATTTTCAACATATTATGATTGGCCTTTAATTCATATTCTTTTACAGTCATTGTACTCACCATCTGTTTAATCATTGGCTAAGAGCCTACAGTTAATTTTGGAAATTAGCGCGACCTACAAAGTTAGCTATCTGCTAACATTAACTGACTAATTTATAGGTAGCATGTGCAATGCATGATAAAACAATATATCTTGGTCCCGGATGATAACACTTACCTCGATCTTGATTATTCCAGATATCATAAAAACGGCCTCCCCCATTAATTAGTAACAACCATTTAAGAAGCTATGGCCTAGCACGGGCTGTAATTGACAGTTAATTTTTTTAACTCCTGTGCCTATAAAAGCAAGCACAGAATTTCTGCTTGTTTGTATTACAAACTTTTCCTGGGCTACGTATGTCAGTTGTTTGTTGTCACAAAAACTAAACGTTGAAACAGAGAAAGTTTGCAGTTGTCGTGCTTTTGGTGATGTAAAATATTATTTTAAAACATATATTCTGTAAGAAAGCACACTGGCTTATTGCCTCATTTTTTTGGTACGAGTTGTAATACCTGTTTAGAACTCTAGAAAAGGAATGAAATATACTGCTCGTGGAAGGTTCTAGAAATGCACAGAGGGCACACTGAGACAGAAAGAAAAGAGTTTTTAAAAAAGGCGCATTTTTTTGCCCTACATTCGCACTCCGCCAGGGCTGCTACCCAGCCTGGTTACCGAATGTCTTCAGGGTGTCTCATGGGCAAGTGATGTAGCCCGTTACACTGCAGATAAAACAGTATGTCAAATTAAAAGCTTATTGAACCGGCTTTCTTCATGAACCAACATTTATAAGAAACTTGCACTGTCAATTTCTTTATATTTTTTTCATTTAACTGTCTGAATCAGAGCTCGAAAGCTAAAACTCTACAGTTCGAAAGTCAAAGCGCTAAAAAGACGTGTCGGGGTTTCCACCATTTTCGATGGCGGTGAAAGTTAGACAGCAATTTGGAAGTAGGGCTAAAAAAAGTTGGATTATCATACAAAAAGGCCTCTTAACAAACAGAACAAACAAAGTATTTTAAAAGAAACGAGACATTCCCCGCTGGGCACGCTGTTGTTCCTTACACATTAAAGTAACATGCCTCAAACTTCTAGGTCAATCGAACAAGGCCATTCCGCACTCCTCCAAATACTAAAAATTCAAAAGACAAGGAGATTTTTCCTCGAGGGATGTTCGAGACACATATGAAGACAAGGTATGATTCGAGGCGACGACTTACCTCTCATTCCCATCTATACTAGCGCACGCCCGATTCCTCATCCCCAACTCAGAAACTGCTGTCCCGGTTCAATGTTCCTTTTTGGCTTCCTCAAGACGTCCTGCTTCAGTTTCCGTCGGAAATATCATGAAAACCTCGCACCTCTGTAATATTCTATTTTTGCTGATTGATTTCATTTTTATCAAGCAACCTGCTGCCGCTCAAGAATATCATTTGTGAAGTTAATTCTGTTAAATCCTGTTATTGGGTGGTAAAATGCGTAACATCGCTATGCAACTCGTTTTGCAGCAATGCTGCAAGACAAGTTGCATGTTTTTGTTACCCTTTTCTCCGTGCCTTAACATCTTGTATTCTTTATTCTTCACCTCCGTCAACTTGACTATTCCTCTTAACAGTTCCCACTTAACCACTACAACTGAACATAACTAACTGCACATCCCTAGCTGCACATAACCGCTGATAACTGGGCACGTTCGGGCTTGCTGGCCATGAGAATAGACCTCTTTAGTTTGTATGTTTTGTTTTCCAAATACAGGTCATGTGATAATATTCTAAAGAACTGTTTTGTTTCTTTCAAATTTCGTCTTATTCACGTGCATTTGTACGCATAATTTATGAAAAGACAAAGGGTCGAGTTCCCCTGGGACCGCTATTGGGAAAACAAAGAAGTCAAGAGAAGTCTATTGCAAACGCACTCCCTGATGACTTAAGCGTCATAAATGAATTTCCTTTTGACCACCAGAAGTGGAATAAACCAACCTAAGGGTTCAGTAGGCAGCTAAACACACATAAGGGTCTAATTTACAACAAGACAGTAACATTGATGTAGGTAAAACGGGGTAACAATCAAGGTCAGCTGCAGTTCACGTGCCCTCTTCAAGCGGGGGCACCCAACAAACGAATCTTTAAAAGCGGTCAGAAATGTCTAAAGTTTGTTTCATTAGTTTGGAGCTGCCCTAAAGACTACCTATTTGTTCAGGAGTTTTAGGGGAACTTTGGCCGTTTCTACATCTACATCTAGACATAAAATTTCAGTCTAATAACAAAGGGGAATGAATACCCATCAATTCAAGACATAGTTTTGGCTGCCACTGCGGGTTTTGTCGAAACTGCGGGGACACGAAATAACCATACTTTCATTAGAAAATTTTACTGAAGGCACATATTTTCTTTGAACCGAAATTTTCAAGTGACCTTTTTTCACTCTCTGGAAACAATCACCAAATTTTGGAAATGAAATCTGCACTTCCGAAAATCGAAGGGAAGTTAAAAGAAAAACGTACTCCGAATTGCTTTGGTGGGTGAATGGAACGGTTATCCAAAAATGTTTACCTTTTCTTACGCTATAGAAATTTTTTAGGCAATATACGCGCCTTTAGACAGATATTTTGGGGATATGTTACAGAAAACTGTCGCTCACTCAAATTTAATAAATGGCATTTTTGTTGAAAAACTCCTTTAAAAGGTAAGAAAATTCAAAAACTTGTCGATACAAATACGGATCAACCTTGATCCACAAACATAATCATAACGAAACTCTAGGCACGAGTAAAACTACAAGTGCAAGCAAGAAATGAACTTGAAACAACCTTCAAAATACTTCACAACACAAGCAATGGAAACATAATTTTTTCTAAATGTCCCCCAGGTGAGGTATTTGTTTAAAATTTTTGAATTGCACTGTGAATTTCTTGTTGTACGAATCTGCCCTCACCGTTTGGTCCGTTTACAGCTTTCCGACAAATGTCCGGCGGGGATGGGCCACAGCACAGCTGTAACTTTCTCTTCCTCGAGAATTGCTCGCAGGCTAAAAGGAACTGAAAAGAACGACCTTTGGATAACTTTAGGGGTACTCGGCACTTTCCGGGGTTGTCTCGGTTGGAGCACCCTGATCTACCACGGGTGGACCGGATCGGAGATCTTTCGTCCAAATAGAGTATCTGAAAATTTCGGTCTTAATTTGCCCGTAAGTTAAACCCAACATCTAATAGGAATAGGAGCCAAGAGAATCCGTCGTTCGTTGCTTTATATCTTGACGTAGCCTACGTAGCAAGCATTTCTGCAGGCGTTTATAATAGTTATTGCTATCGCTATAAGGTGCCAACGAGCAAAGATACGCGCGCACTGTTCAATTTGTTTAGAAATGTAATGGATTACCGTAATTTACGAAAAATAGTTTGAACTCGATTCGATTGCATAAGTAACAGTTACCTTGAAAATAGCGAACTAAACTGTTCTACTGCATAATGAATTTGAAATTATTTTTCGCGATATTGAAATTCGTGTTTTTATCCGAACTTGCAGCCAGGTCACAGGTCCGCGAATATTCAACGTACAGATTTATCTTTGATCCGTTTTTAAAGCTAGGGAAGTCTACTTTTGGGAAAAAACGATTTATGGTGCGCCGATGAAGCTTTGCGAATTATCCTGCTTCAAAGACACCATAAATTTTGCGGCGTTATTATCTTTTTTAGCGGCGTAAACAGGCAGTGTACTTCGGTATATATTTTGAAGTCAACTCGATTGCATGACCGAAAATTTTCGTGAAAATGGTGAACTAAACTGTTCCACTGCATAAAGAATTTGAAATACTCACTTTACATAGCATATTTTTCTTAATACTCTGTTCTGCTTTTCGTCACACGTCCTAATGTTACATCGCTTCGAGATTCATTCTTCCTTGAAACTTTCTCCCACGGCTTTATTATGCTACCGCCTCTTCGCGAGGCTGCTCGTTGGTAATAAGTCGAGAAAGTTGGCACAAGAGCAAAAAAGAGGAATGAAGTTGGGGAAGAGAGAGAAGTTTTTTCTCCTTTCCCGTCCCCCTCCCCCGTCAATCTTCCAATTTCTTTTGCTTTCGCCCCAACTTCCTAGCCTGCGTCGCACCGGTGTCACAGCGTTTTGGGCATCCCCGCGTTTTGGGCATCCCCATTCCCATATCCCTAGCGTTTTGGGTATCCCCTTCTCATATTACTGCAGCGTTTTGGGCATCCCCCGGTACCCTCCCGGGATGCCCAAATCCCTAGCGTTTTGGGCATCCCCTACAAAACAATTTGGGATTTCGCGGGAAAATCGAAAACCTTTTAGAGATGGATTCCGCTAAATATACAAATCTGTTCCGGTATCTTAAAAATAAGGTTTATCCGGAAGGCTTTACAAAGCATAACGAAACAATTCTTAGAAAATTCGCCAAAAAGTCTGAGTATGACTCAAAATTAGAGTCCTTGTTCTACGTGGCCAAGAAGAAGGATGGCACAGCGCTTCGACGTCTTGTTATCGCCGAGGAAGATAAAGCGAGGGTCTTCGAAGAGTGCCACTCTGCTCCTTTTTCTGGACACGCCGGCCGCGATAACACTCTGAGGAAAATCAAAGAGCGGTTTTACTGGCCTGACTACTACAAGGACACGATAGAAATGGTTACAGTGTAGTTACAAATGTTATTTATTTGCCAATTGATCGTGTTTTTAAAACACCCGCGTTGATAATCGAAAACATACGCTAAATTTCTTCTGTTGTCAGTGTTCTTTGAAAGGGTGAGGCATAATTGCATCTTTTGGTAGGTTGTCAAAGGGCATTGTAAACCGGAGTCCTTCTTATAGATCCCGTTTGTTATTATTTTATGTGAAGAAAAAGATCAGAAGTTATATTTCTGAAGGGTCGAGATGACAGATTTTCTGTCAGTTGACCTAAGTGTGGCCTTGAACATCCATTTATGTCACGCCGGCTGTCACGCCCGTGCGCAAAGCACAACATATCTTCTAGTGACCATCATTGGAGCGTCCATTTATCATAACTACATAACTACAGGATTTTTTTCTAGACATGCCTTTCCCTTGCACTGCAGGTTTTTTGGGGAGGGAATTGTCACCCCCACCTCCGGTTATTTCTGATGATTTGAGGCCTCTGTAATTGTGTGACAGCCTTTCCTGTATCAAGTAGCGCTGCGGGGTTAAGTTGTACAGGCCTCAAATGTCATGAATACTATGAATGCAACACCGCAAAACGCAGTTTTATTCATGTTTACCTTTTGATTCCTTTGTTTAGTATTCTTGTTTTTGGCTGTTTGGAAGCAGACGATCGCAGCTGCCGGCGATTGCGGCATTGCTCGCTTGTAAACAGTTCTATTAAATAAAATTGAAAGCTTTGCAAACAATGAAGTGTTGTGCATCGAAGCCATGTTATGCGGTTGTAAATTTCAGTTTCGTCATGTTTTGAGCCAACGTTTACTGCTTATGGGTTTTTTTCTGCGCAATTAACCCGGCAAAAAGTGTCGAAGGATATAATTCTAACATGCATCAACACCATTTAGCCGTAAATTCGTGATTAACAATCCCGACTTTTCCCCAGTCTGAAATAATTTAGGCAAAGTCGAAGTGATCAGCGTTTTGGGCATCCCCCACCGGGGATGCCCAAAACGCTAGGGATATGGGAATGGGGATGCCCAAAACGCTGTGACACCGGCTCTCTCTCCTCTCCAGAGGCTCCGGCTGGGTATTCCTATAAAAAAATCAATAATCGAAAAAATAGAAAGCGCGTGGGGGACGATTGGAAAAGGCCTCTCTTGATCTTCTATCTTCTTCCTTCCCATCGTTCCCCGCGCGCTCTCTTTTTCTTTCTCCCCAGCCTCCCCACAACACAAAAGAATTTAAGCAGGAAGTAACTAGTTGGAAAAGCTTGCTCTCCGCTTGCTATGACAATACTTTAATACGCTCCACACGCCCCCAGGTTCCAGGGCCCTCAAAAAAATAAACATGACATATGACTCAGTTAACATTTTCTTCAAACTTTTATTGAAACATTTGCGTCAAAATCTACATTTTTCATCTGTATTTCTTCAATAAAGACCAAGGTTGAAAAGATCTATGCTCAGATTTCAATCCAGGCAAGTGAGGCAACGGCCCCACAAACGGAGGGTGGTCTACCTGTGGTCTCAATCATAACATAGGACCCAGTTTCTCGGGGTTGCGATGTTCGAACGTGCTGAATAGGAGGAAAGAAAGAATTAACATGGCGTCTCAGAATATTCCACTGTACATCCTCGAATATACTACTACATCTGGTCCTCAGACTGAGTTTGCACAGGGAGATATAAACAAGGTTTTATCTACCACAGCTGCTGGGCTTTCGATAATGGGAGCCCTTGTTATCATAATCACATTCGTGATGTGGCCCGATTTGAGAACAAACTCACGCAATATTATCTTGTTTATATCAATCGGCGATCTTTTCGTCGCAATCACGAACATCGTCGGCCTTTATGGACACTCTCATAGTTTAACGTGCGAAATTGAAGCAACATTAAACATCGTCGCTATTTTGTCGTCGTTTTTTTGGACTGTCTTCTTGTCGGTTTACTTCTACGTGACTATTTGCAGGAAAATCTCATTGGAGATGGAGGCTCGAATGATGAGGTTTTTCCACGTAACAGCTTGGGGGATTCCTTTCTTATTAGCAGCAATAGCCCTTGGCGACAGAGCAGTAGGAAATTCAAACGATTTCGTGTCTTCAGGGTGGTGTTGGATAAAATACAGGCAAGAGTGGCGGAAGATGATGTTGTGGATGTTCCTTGCCGGAAAGGGCTGGGAGATCTTAGCTTATGTTACCATTTGTGTGTTTTATGTGTTGGTCAAGTTGCAAATAAGGCGAGAGGTACGAATGATTTATAGGATAAAATGACAGGATAGAAGGGGAATTAATACAGTTAAGAATTGAAAATATAGTCCGGCGTGTTCAGTTGACAAATAATGGTAATTGAACTGAGCGGAGTGCAATTTGGTCTGAAATCATACGAGTGATTTCAAAAGCAGACGAGCGCGCAGCCCGGGTTCAATTTGAAATCACAAGTATGATTTCAGTCTAAAATTGCACTCCATTCGTGCTAAAGAAATGGTGCAATTTAAAACGGAAATGAAAAGAAATGATGCGATTTAATTAATGGATTGGTTTTCTGATTTCGGTTTGTATCTATTGAACATGCTGGGAAATAGATATATGAAAATTCATTGAAAACAAATGCAATATTACAAAGCTTGGCTCTTAAACTCAATAGCTCCAAATGAAATCCATGGTGCACAGTATTATTTTAATTTTTACACAAACCATTAGATTTCCTTACCACCTGTAGTCAAAAGTAACTTATTGGAACCATCAGGTGTTGCTCTCTCTGTATTACCTCCCTTCAACTCCACCCTCCTCCTTCCCCCCCCCAGGGAAGGTGCTCGAGATTTCAAGTGACAGGGATGATCGAATGGTGGCAAAAATCAAAACCACCATAAAATCCCCTGACTAAAAATTAACACCCCCCAAAAAATCCCATGCCAAATTCCCGAGTCTTAAAATTCCAGAAGGCATCAAATGATATGAAACAAAAAATAAAAACATTGAAAATTGAATGTTTGTGTTTGTTTTTTCATCATACCAACATCTGGAATTATCATTTGCAGGCTCTACCATGAATCTTCAGATCCTTTTAAGTACCCAAAAAATCCTCTGATCATCCCTCGTGGGCTTGACTGGCCTTAACTTAATTTAGATTGACCTAAATTAGAGCTTGGTTCGTCTCGTGAAAAGTTTGACTAGGCCTTAATTGTTAATACTGAAAAGGTTGTTCTCCTGCCATGGTGAAGACAATAGCTGATGAACTACAAATTCCAAAACTCAGAGCAAAAAAAATTGAATATTTTGTTTGAAATATCAATCAAACTTCATTAGCGATTGTAAATGAGTGAGATTTGGATACATAATTTAAATGTTAGACGTACAATGTTTTATCAACTGAAAATTTGACTAGGCATTTTATTAATATATATGGTTTTGTACTACACGATGATGTAGCACTCTTCAGGTAAAATAGCCTAAATATATGTTATGTATTCCCAGGAGAGGAATTGTAAAAGGCTAGGTGTTGTCTTGTTCCTAATTAGAGAGGGTTTTCTCTGTTTGATAGCAATGCCTTTTGACACCCCAGCTGATGGCTTAAAACTTCAACATTGTGTGTCAATAATATTCATCATTCATTATTTTGTTTTGATCAGCTAACTGTTATCTTTTTCCCATCCAACTATCAAGCATTTGTCAGTCACCTTCTTAGAGAGCGTCTCCATTTAGGAGTGGAGAGGAATAATAATGATAAGTCCTAGAGTTCAACAATTTTGCTTTGTGGAATTTTTGTTTTAATAACTGATACCCTGTAAGAACACTGAGATGTGGTAGGCTACGTCAATACTAAAATTAAAAACTGAGTTGGTTTCTGATTCTAGAAGTGAATTGGATTCTCTTTAACCCTTTAACTGTAAGAAGTGATTAGCATATAACTTCTCCTTTTTATGTTTAATACCTTGTCCAACAGATAGGTGGTGAGAATAGGCAAATTTATCAGCCAAAGGATGCCATATTGATATACCGGTAATCCCAAATTCTCTTAACTATTGAGCAATAAAATGTATTGCAGCCAGAAAACAGAATTACTAATAAGATCTTGGGAGTGTTAAAAAAATATGCCCATCTCATCAACTCACCTTCATCTTTTATTTTCTTTTTATTGACTTTCCATAGATGAAAATGGGAATTGCTTCAGGAGGCCATTTTTTAACCCTCAAGTCTATTGAGGTAGTAAAAAAGGCAGATCGTAAGTTAACATTTATTCCAGTGGTGTTTATTTTACTGCGTATGTGGGGAACTATAAGATTTTTCCGTTTCCTGGCTTATCACCCTGAAAACCCTCCAGCATTAAAGTGGCTTGTTATACTTCATGTAAGTATGATGGTGAAATCTTCTCTTTATAATGATATGTCTACTAAACACTCAGATTCATTTTAGGCCACAAAGGTTTGGGATCAGGCAGGTTTTTACTTTAAAAATCCCTAATAAAAGTCAACAACACAAGCATGTTTCACATTCCCTTTGTGCATGTTAAAGACATCAACAAACTAATACCTCAATCACCTCAAGTTCTTGACTGCTTAGCAATCCACTCAAGTGCTTTCACAAATCAATAGTACATGCTGAACTGTTTACTGTGCATTTTATAACATAACCTAAACTCAGGAAAGCTTTTGAATTTGCTAACACTGATAGTAGCCGATATATGCCAACTCTCCCAGATACAGCACTGATCTCCTGCTCTCCCGTACAGCAGGTCACCAAATCTCACCGATAAAATGGACTTTGCTGTAGTTTGAAATTTAGCCCATTTTTTTCTCATAATTCAAACTTTGTTATTCATTGTATGGTTTCAGGGACATTTTTTGCATATGTAGAGGCCCTGCCAGGGGGGGGGTCCCATGTCGCCCATCTGAATTTTAAAACACCTCGTGTCGGTGTTTATAAATGCTTGTCGCTTATTGTCGTAATTTCATTTTACGGGCTGTCGCTTCTTTTTGGGCCATGTCGCTTGTCGGAATTTACCCTGGCAGGGCCTCTATCTAGTCACTGATGACAAAGAATATTTTGTCATTACAATGATGAAAGCGATTTTGATAGCATTTACGTCATGTAAAACTTCATAAAATGTCCTAAGCCATTGCGGCTGGGTCAATTTGTGGGTGAGCACCTATTCAATGCAGAAATAATATTGAAGAAGAAAAGCTGTCAAAAACTTTGTTGAGTGGCAACAATAACATGATCTTTACTGTAACTGATAACAACTTTCTCATTTAATCCATTCCAGGGTATTGGAGACAGCAGCCAGGGCTTTGCCAACTTTTTCTTATTTTGTTTGTTCACTGACAAAATAAGGAAAAAATTCAGACAATGTTGCGAGCAGTTCATACCAAAGTGCAGTGTTGAGGAGAAAGATCCTTTGTTAGAGAGCACAAACTTGGCATATGGGGCTAGAGATTTCTACACTTAAATGGTATTCTTCATGTCATTAGCCATGACATGGTTTAGCTGTCCATTTATGATCAACACTGGTAGCAGCAACCATGTTATTTAGTTTGCATCTGCCTCGATTAACTTGCAGGGCTTCTGAGAGAATGAGACCACTTCTCACACGCAGCCAGAGGTCAGCCTTTTTGTTGGGTACATGAACCCTAACTCAAGAGCTCTTAGGAACCATTGGTGTCTGACCAATCACGTTCATGGTACCCCAGCTCCAGGGATCCAATCTTGATAATATTATCCAGGATTAAATGTGCATACAGCTTCTCAGCAGGATGTTCACATGATTACAAAATAAATTCTGGTACCCTAGAGATCAGGCAAATGACAATCTTCTTATACTACTTTACCTACAGTTTAGTTATCTGACCCCTAATTGGTTTTTTGCTTGTCTCGTGAAGACATTCCAGAGATGTTTCTGGTGTTCATAGTTTTAAAGTCAAATGTAGGAATCAATACCTTTGTCTTTCCAATTATATTGTACAGCTTTTAAAAAGTGCTATTAATAGTTTTGGCTTAATAATTAAGAACTAAAGCTTGGCAATTCACTCATTTAAGTTAGTTATTATAAGTTTATAAAGGTAACTAAAGAAATAGTTGTTACTGCTATTATTGCTTGTCCACTTGTTTAAGGTAACCAAAATACTGGGGTAACCATAACACTCAGCAAGGCCGTTACCCTAACCCCTGGGGGGTATTCCTGGAAATTCATGGTGGAGGTGTGCTGCCCGGTTCTTCAAATCCCGACCCTATTTCAGACCAAAAACTTGTCATTTTCCACACCCATTTTCAGACCTGACATAGGCAGAAATCATGTTACAGGGGCGGATCTAGGGGGAGGGTGCAGGGGGTGTGCACCCCCCTGAGATGACCTGCGGTTTTCTAATACAACTGGTATTCTGCAAAAAAAAAAAAACTATGTGGTTTATTGGTGTTGAAGTAGAGCAAGAGACGAGTGCACCCCCTCCTAAGAAAAATCCTGGATCCGCCCCTGTGTTATCATTACTTAGACTAGAAGGCTGACAAAAAGATTGCTTAAAATCTATTTCGAATTCGCATATTACTCTTTTTTTTCTTTTTCTTTTGGAATTGAAACGACAAATATGTTTTTTTTTAAATTCGTATCCCCTCAAAAACCATACCCGAATTCAGACCAAAATAGGCTATAGCCGTTTTCGGACCAAAACAGTGCAAAAACCACATCCTTTGGGGCGCCATATACCTGTAAGGGAAATATGAGGGAATTCCTCCCCTCCCCGTCCCCTAACCGTATCTGTCTTGAATTAAAACACGTGTTATAAAGGAAAAGAAGTCATAAGAGAGTGATAGGGTAGTCAACCCTCTTGCCAAGGTAACCTTAGCAATTAGCCCAGGGGGTACTCCCTTATATGAGTCATATAGGTATGTGCCACCCCAAAGGGTATGGTTTTTGCGCTGTTTTGGTCTGAAAACGGGTATGGTTTTCGAGGGAACTACGGGACTATATGAACGTATTTGTCGTTTCAATTCCAAATGAGTAAGAAAGAAAGTAAATTATGCAAATTCGAAATGGATTTTAAGAAATCTTTTTTGTTTCTGTTCTTATCTAAGTAATTTCTTTGACAGGTCTGAAAACGAGTCGGAAAAATGACATTTTTTGGTCTCAAATAGGGTCAGGATTTAGAAAACCGGGCGGCACACCCCCACCAAGAATTCTCAGGAGTACCACCCGGAGCAATTAGGTTACCCTCCATGAACTTGTCTATAAGGCTTTATATTTATTTATTCTACCTCTTTTTTTTCCTTTTTTTCCCTTCCATATCACTTGTAAATATTTCTCTTTCCGTGTAAATAAAATGAAATGAAATAAACTAACCAAAGATCAAGTTAGTAACCGCGTTGCAGTGGAGCAGCTCACTCAGCTCGTTCAACCCACATTCACAATGGGGGCGACCTAGCTAATGCGAGAGACATACATTTCCAAGAAATACTGAGAAAAAAGGTTCTGTTATTTCTTGTCAGATAGGGCACAGCATTCAAACAGATTGATTATGTGCCTGTGATATCTGTATTCAGACCTATTCAGTCAAGTATTAACTCAATATACGAGCAGAACGAGTTACACAGCAAAGCGAATCCCATTATGTGGAAGAGACTGAAAACATTTATAGACCTCTAAAAAGAATGAAAAGTAATAATAATAATTAAAAATTTATAACGCGCCTTTTCCATGTAAATATGATCAAAAGTGCATAACAACTGATGCTTTTTAAAGATGTTTAAAGAAAATAAAGGCTAAGATGAACATAGTAATTACAGCTAAAAAGGTTATAAACTTTTTACCATTTTCTTTAGATAGGTTAAAACGTTGGTGATTTCAAATTGCTTAAAAAGCCGGAGGTTCTTCCCAAATTGTTTTGATTTCTGTTAGGTTAGTTGTGGTTTTATCCCGGGAATGAGTGTAATAGGGGCCGTTGGTCAGCTTATTATACTGATACCTCAGTCCAACAAACCATTAGGGAACTATAACAAGCCAGTTTTTTTGTTCATGAACTCTTTGAACGGCACGGTCAAGAGTTTCTAACCCAAGAATATCCATCAGAAAAGTTCTGTTCCCATTAAAAGGACCTACCAGTTCAAATTTTTGAGGTGATATATCGGATCAGTACAAACGATTCCCGCGATAAGTGTTACTTGCACGAATAGACTACGCAGTTTCACACACCGTACGTGTGGAATCACGTCCCTTGTACAACCTCTGACTTCATCAATGTTCCATTTTTGAAAGACACTTTCAAATCATACTCAAACGAGGGCAGAGAGAAACGGAGAAAATTTTGATGAAAATCTTGGTCTACCACATGCTGGTAATTCTTTCATGTCACTACGATAAGGATTTTTTGGAAAGAATTTCCACCAAAGAACCGCCAAAATGAAGCCTAGTAAACATGAGTAAATGCCCAGCAAAGGAAAAAAAACGAGGACAAAAAAAGGAAACAGGTGGGGAAGGGAGAACGAAGCGAAACGTCAGTGGGGCAGTCGCAGAAAAATTTCGGCTTATCCTCCATGTAAAAACCTGTAAAACTCACGAGTGAAGTAAACCAAAGAAGTTATAGGAAAACAAAAAGTGTACAAAAAGAAAAAGTTCATAGGCTCTTAAATTTTATCCTCTGTGCATGCCCCAATTTCGACACCAGGAAAAAAGGAGATACAAGAAAGAGACATTCTCTACGTGATCTTGTCCCCATGGCTCTTCTTTCGTGTTACCCTTGTTCTAAACTCTGGATGACACTTTGAATCTTTTCTCTGTTGCGCATGACCAACAACGAGAGGAGCATTCTCGTTACTTATTACGAGTCATTCAGCATACTGCGATACTTGTATACATCGGCCACCCTAACAGAGAAAGAGAGAGCTATTAAGACTGTGGAAACCGGCATGATCTTCCCTGGGCGTGGTCGAATCGTTTACAAGCAGGAGCCGATATAAGTTAATCATATCAAGACAATTCATGTGATCGATAATTTGCTTTCAACAAACACTGTAAATATTAAACGTAACTAAACAGTAGTTCTATAGTTCAGGAGCCCATGACCAGGAACCTCTATAATTAAATATAGTGCCTATTGGCACTAATTGGGGACACCTTTAAAACTAAATTACATCATTAAAAGAAACTAATTGAATACTATAAAACATACAAAAAAGCCGGAAATTAACACTATTCAAGCTAACTACTCTCTTACACTTTAAAACTAAGTTCTAAATTTACTCATTAACACTTTGAAGCTAAGTTATAAACAAGACTCTCGGAAGGTTCCAACTTAAGGTGTTACGTGACTCTCACCTTGTTTATCAGTGGGATACTCAGTACGCGTAATCCTTGCTGCATGACGAAGCTGGTGACAATCACGAACTGTAATATCCGTGTCAAAAGAAATCCGAGCTCTGCTTCACGCACAAATGATACACGAAGCCGCTATGGCCGGGTTCGAGGCAACGTTCCCGGCAGGAACAACACTAACCACTGCAACAACTCGAAACCAATCAGAAATCTCCAGCGAAATCCTTGACAAAGTCTTAACTACAACCACCGCTTCGTTGTCGATTGTTGGAACGCTTGTTATTATGATTACATTCGTGCTGTGGCCAGACATAAGAACGAACTCACGCAAAATCATCGTGTGTATATCAATCGGAGATTTTTTCGTTGCGTGCTCAAATATTTTAGGTGTATGGGAAAGAGAAATGGATCATTGGAAAAGTGCGTGCGAAATACAAGCAGCGATTGGCATGGTAGCGGTTCTTTCCACCTTCTTTTGGACAGTTTATTTGTCGGTATATTTTTACCTGGTTATCAGTAAGAAAATATCCGTAGACTCAGAAAGGCGAATAATGCTGTGGTTTCACTTCACTGGCTGGGGAATTCCTTTGGCGATAACAGCAATCGCCAAAGAAAAGGGGGCCACTGGATATTCAGGGGATTTAGTCTCCTCGGGATGGTGTTGGATTAGTTCTGATCAGCCCTGGTGGAAAATGCTCCTGTGGATGGTCATTGCTGGAAAGGGATGGGAGATCTTGGCGTACATTACCATCTCTGTGTTCTATGTGTTGATCAAGTTGTCGATAAGGCGAGAGGTACAGTAACAGACAGTAGTAGTTTCAGCTATTTGCTTCGCTAGCGTAGTTTAAGGTCACGTAACTTACGTCTAGTTATACTGTCAAACTGGTCTAAACTGTAATTTCTCATTCTTTATTCTCTTCGAGCGGAGGCCCTTCAATATTCCTTGACTTATCGTGGGGGTGAGAACTGAAGGACCTCTGCTGGCAAGGTACGTCTTGTCAATGAATTTTCCTTGAAACAATCACCCCAGTTTATTCTTATCAAGTTTCACAGTGTTCGTGACTAAAATCAGTTAAACTTAAATAAGAAATGAAATGGCCGTTTTTATGCTAGAGACGTTAAAGTCGTCTGAGACGTTAAAGTCGTCTTAGGACGACTTTAACGTCTAGTATAAAAACGGTAAATAAGGCAGACGACTTTAACGTCTGACGACTTTAACGTCTTTTGTTAAGTGCGTCCGAACGACGCACTTAACAGACGGCTTTAACGTCTCAGACGTTAAAGTCGTCTGGTATAAAGACGGGTCGTCGTAAACTAGGACGCATTTATGCTCGACTCGTCCAGAGACGACTGGGACGAGTGCAAAGCATCATGGCAGCCAAGAAGAGCGGGCTTGAAGTTCATTTTTGGCGCCGCTTTAACTCGTGTCCAGTGTCTTCCGAGATTAGAGCCTAGTCCTTTTTTCAGAAAAATCTACTTTTTTAAAGGAGGTCGTCTACTTTTGTGCGTCCCGTTTTTACACTAGACGACTTTAACGTCTCAGACGTTAAATGCGTCTAGACGACTTTAACGTCTCTAGCATAAAAACGGCCAATGAAATGATATGTGTAGAGAGAAGAACCCGGAAAAAATTCTGAGTCGCAGATGGGAACTCAGAAAGTTCCAGATGGGAACTCAGAATACCGTATTTCCACGAATAATAGCCGTCCCTCGATTAATCGCCACCCTTGAATAATCGCCACCCCCAACCCTTCTCGCCATCTTCTGTTTCTTTTATCCCCTCCCGGTCAAGTTTAAGTGGAATCTGATCTAGCAAAACTGATTAGTGACAATTCAACAGCAACAACAACAAGGTGTTATCGATTAAAATAACAACAAACAGCTAAATTTAAGGAAATGAAGATATAATGGAATGTTAGAATTAATTATGTTTTTTTCGCTGATATGTGAATCAGTATTGTTAAAAAGAAACAGACTTTATCATGGATATTGTATATTTGTAAATAATGTATTTCGGTCGTTGATTTTAATAAAAAGAGTCTTTCTCAAATCATTATATAGATTACAGTGATTTCATTTTCAACCGAATTTAGGTTGCAGTGATGACAGATTCTAAGGTCTTCAGAAGTTTTGGGAATTGTAAACCTTCCAGTTTCTATTTTTATATTACGATTTCCTATACCCTGTATATCCTAAATTTGGAAGCCACACGCCTATGTTCAGGATTCCGGATATGAATGATGAATTCGGAGTAATTTGTTTCATTTTTAAAGATGGAATAGAATTTTAGTTTTTTATTTGTTCTTATCAAATTTAGCTGGTGGTTTTTTAGTAGTTTTGACAAATTATTTACAGCTTTAGATAGAAAAGTAGTAGGGTTTTTAAAGTTAACTGATTGTTTATTAATATTAAGTTGTGTACACAAAAGATTCATTTTATTTATTACACCTGATTTATTTTCTTCGGCCGTTTTATCCGATATGTTTAAGCAGAGTTTCGCGATGCTGTCAGGGGGTTGATTTTCAAGGTGAATCCAAAACTTGAAAAAACTAACTTGCCAGTGATTCTGTTGGCACTCCAAATACCCGTTCCCCACCCAGCCCCCGAACCCCCCCACCCCTCGAGCACAAACATAAATTGCAGGGAAGCGTCTGTTCCAGGCTTTCAGATTGTGGGGATGGCGCAAACAGGGGTGGTGGACAGGAAAAACAGTGGCCTCGCGCCACACATCCCTATCTGAGTGTCTGAAACAGGCTAAAGATGAATCGTCGTATCGCAGGTTACCGTAAGTAATGATAGACCAGCTTTCTAACGTGAAATGTTCTTCTTTGAGATACCTTTGATCCACGATGGAGTCATTGACCGCCAATCTTCTTGTTCTTTTAGGTGAGCAAGGGATTTGCCTCACGAAGTCTGTTTTTAACAATGGAATCTGTTAAGGTATTGAAGAAGGCGGATCGAAAGTTAACATTCATTCCTGTGCTGTTCATATTACTGCGCATGTGGGGAACCATAAGATTTTTCCGTTTCCTGGCCTGTTTGCCAGACTGTCACCATTTAGGACCACGACCTGCCTACAGATGGCTTGAAATTCTTCAGGTGAGTATGCAGCCCGTAGAAGATTGTCCCAGAAAACTCTTCCCTATTTACTTGTGTGTCGCCCTCAACCTCTCCGGTCTGAAGCGCCAAAAACGAAGGTTATGTTCACGCTATACTGGGTAGCTTTTCTTGCCAACACGAAAAGCTATTCGGTATAGCATGAACAGCATCGGCACAGAACTGGAACAAGCTGGTCGTTCACAGCCTCTTTCCGAGTCGTCCTGTGACGTCACCCGTCAAGCTTGTCGGGAAAATTCGCCCAGGTTATCGCGCTCGGTTCCGAGCCTCCTCTTGTAACTCGGATAGCGCGAACTGGCCTGGGTACGAGGCTGAGTCGCAACATGGAACAAATCGAACATCGCGCCGGAGCGGTTTGACGAGAGGGTTTGGTGAACTAAATCCCAGTCCTCATTGCCGAAAATTCACTTCCGTCTTAGCGGATTCCGCTCCTTTTCCTTCGTTATTCACTTCCGCTATAGTCTCCCTCGCAGCCGTTTTTAGTATCGTCACGCAACGCTCCTCCAGTGGGGAGGAGCGTTGCGTGACGATACTAAAAACGGCTGCGAGGGAGACTACTTCCGCTACGGTTCGAATATACCTGTGGCACACTACATCAAAGTGTAGCACAGAACGTACGCGAAATATGAAGCTCTGATTCACTTTCGAGATCGGAAGCTCAGCTTCGCTCCGTTATGGTATGATCTTCGTGCCGGCGCAAAAGCAATCCGGTATAGTGTTAACATGGCCTTTAATGAGGACCTACTATAAAAAGTTCCTCTAGTTTTTTCCAGGTGTTCAGATAATGCGGAAGACGCAATGAAGTGAGCAGAAAGAAAGGGTGACTAGAACCACATATATATATCATCCGCTCCGCATTTTGCGCCATTCTCCTCTACCTTTATGCCTTGAAAAGTCTTCCACGTTTTCTCTTGTGCAGCCCCATGCCTTTGCTTAAGAACTCTCCGCAGTGTTGTGACCTAGCTACTAGCTTGGAAAACACATGATCACTAGTTTTTATTAACTACCAACTTTATGTACTTTCAGGGTATTGGAGATTCCAGCCAAGGCTTTGCAAATTTCGTTTTGTTTTGCCTGTTCACTGAGAAGATAAGAGAGAAATTTAGAGTTTGTGACCAGCACCGAGCAGTTTCTCGCCGCAGTCTGGAGACGTCAAACTCATTCCTTAAAAGTACAAATTACGGTGCTATAGACTGAAGAAATACATGTCAGGGGCACCGAACGATAATATAGTTCAAAACCACTTAAACATAGCATTGATGAACGTATGTTAGTATTTAAACGGTAGGTATAGGCATATTTTGATCTCCTAAAAATTTTTCATCTGTTCGGATTTCCTAGCTGAAAGTCTAATGATCCAAAAATTATAGTGATCAAAACTTGCCTTTTCGAAAATTTCAGCCAGAAAAAAGGCTTCCGAAAATTCTAGGTGACCTTTTTAGGGTAGAAGTCCGTTAAAAATGGGCAGTTATACCATTTTTTATATGTTTGGAAATCCTAGGAGAGGCAGCCAAGCAAGAAATTTTACAGCAAATGTTCCGAACAGATATTTTCCGAAAATTGACGCTGGGTGCCCCTGACATGTCAAAATAGTCAATCTGCTCAGTTTACAGTTTTAGGATATGGACGCAAAAGAGACAGAGTGAAGTCTCTACCGTGCTGCGGAGGTGTATGAATAGAGTGAAAGGTATATTCGGGGCCAAGTGAACTGTTCGTGGTGATAGCTACAGCCGATATATATAGGACGCCACTACCTGCACATTAGTTACAGCTGTAACAGTGCAATGTCTAAAGTTTGTATTTTTTGTACCGCACAAGTCTGCATTTTATTTTGTATTTCTAGAAAGGACATAAGTACGAACACTGAGTTCACCGTTTCAATCAGATAAACCAGGAAAGTTGTCAGACCCACCTTATTTCATGTTATTTGCATACTTTTCAGTGTAACTTTTCTACGCTTTTCTCTCGTGTACTTTAAGTTAGGCCCCGTTTAGACGCCGAACTTTTTATGAGCCGAACTTAATTCGAATTAAGGCTGACCCAAATTATTTAGACCGGCTGGATTGATTCAGACGCCAATCTTAATTGCAACTGAACTAAGTTCAAAAGGCGAAAAATGCTCATTTCGGTCAAACTGCTTGCAAATACGTTGTAATAATTTATGCATTAAGTTAGGTACATGAAAAGTTTGGCGTCTGAATCAAAGCCGTTCCAAAGTCGCTCCAAAGGCGAAATTCCCGGCCGGGTTAGGCGAAAAGAACGGCTGAGCCGTTCCAAATTGAAACAGGCGTTGCTAATTGATTCAAACGACGAACTTTTCATGTACTTAATTCAATGTATTAGGTTCGGCTCATTAGAAGAACTGCGTCTGAACGGGGCCTTACTGTACTTTTCTTCCATTTACAACACGAAACCATCAGAAAAAAAGTTTTGCTCGGCTAGCCTGTAAGCAGGCTCACTTGTGCGAGTTCTGGGAAAATGTTGGTGGCATTCTTCTCGCGCTGCCAATATTTCCCCGAACTCCCAGCTGTGTTCTAGCCTGTTCAACGCTTGGAAGAGGCTACATGTGTTTCCTGCAAGCCAAAGAGTAATAAATAGTACCCAGTTCCCTGGTATGCTTTCAATAAATTAACCAGTCAATCACTGTTATTGTCATCGGTGAATAAGTAATACATAATACCTTGTTAACTATTTACAAACAATTGATCAATCTCCGGCCAAACAGCCAAAACTAAGCAGAAAGACGTGATTCATTTTGCGGCATCTAGTACGAGCCAAACTAACAAAGACAAGATCTCAATCCAGCTTTAAAAAGGTGAGTCAAATACTTCAGCGGAAAATGAGAGCTATACAATGTTTTCAATTACCTTTTCAATATTTCTGTGTTAGTTTATGACAGCACGTACTAGATATTCATAGACTCTGTTCTTTGCCTGTTGATGTAAATGGCGTGGTAACTGCTGTATGGCTAAAGAAGAAGTCATTGAGCGCCTAATGCAACGTTATCACTGACGACCAGGTCTTATAACCGTGATAAGAACTCACTAGGCCATCCCTGTTTGCGCAAAGCGTGCTAAAAACCTTTATCCTATACGTAATCGTCTCTTTGCCATTTTTATGGTGTTAATAAGATGCAACCGCATGCAACTGATCTAAGGTTATAAATTAAACTATACTACTATCGGCTTACATGTATTCTTATACCCAGTTTCTTTAAATCTATAAAAATCGTCACATCGCGTAAAGAACCTGAGAGCATGTTGTGGAACCTTTCAAAAACCTTTCGCATTCAAGTATTTGAGTATAGTGGCAGAGATATGTTCTTTGGAAATTAATGATTGGTTGATTCTGTCGCTTTACTATATTGTACATCAACTTTCAGAACAGTTTAGAGATTTCCATTAAACTATTATATGCTCTCTTTTTTAATACAAAGCTGAAATTACTAGAGTGTTACAACGGATAAAAGCGATTCAAATTGATAATTAGGGAAAGTAAATCCACAACAAAGAAAAACCATTTCACTAATTGCGGAACTTTTGACTTATTTGCACGTCCGCATTAATTATTTAAGACGCTCTTACAATATCACATAATTGAAAAGCAGTTGCGTAATATACGTGTTCTCTGTAGAAGAGAAACATTAAAGTACCGCGGAATAACTGCAACAGGGGACCGGTCGCTCTGCCAAAATGAAAGAGGCGGTATCTTAATCTCATTTGTTTGAAAGCGTGTAGATGGTTTCTGCACGTTTCATCATCCCCAGCGTGGCGACAAAGGAATGTTTTGAGTTACTTAGAATGACATACTGTTGAGTTAAATTACTCTCAATAGGCTTTTTTCTTGCAGCATTCAGGACATGTCAAACGAACCTCAAACACCAACGCTGACTGTCACGGATGAAAGTGAAGATGTCACGGAAAAAGACCGCTCTCCTGCCGAGAACGCCTTCTACGAGTCATTTCTTATTCAATCCAGGTCCGCCATTGAAACGTTGTACGCCTCTAACATTTACCACAGTCAAAAGCACGCAAAACAAGTCAAAGATCTTGAACGACAAAAGCAGTACTGTATGTCTCAAATGAACAACGACCAAAAAGAAATGGTTAAAAAGATGGCCCAGTTACAGGAAAAGCAGGAAAAAATAATCGAGGAGAAACGAAAACAACGCTTGAAAGTTTTGTCAACAAAAGGTGATAGTAGAACAAGGCCGCACTCGACATCATCATTAGCAAATCGGGAGCCAAGGTTACTTAAACACAGGCAGAGATCAGGATCCATGCCATTTCTTGAGCCTATTGATGCAAGTCTACTAAAACAAAGCCTATTCAAGTCGACTGAGAACATTCACTCCGATTCGTCTATGCTGAGTGCAAGCCTTCCAGCTAATGTTTTATCGCGGTCCTGCGAGGACCTATCCTCTCTCGGGAAAAAGAGAGGCAAAGTTGTTTTGCCGGCCTTGCCGAAGTCATCCCGAGCGATGTCGGTAGGGGATTCCTCGGAGGATTCCGATTCTACCTTTATAACCCGAATGTCCGCCTCTCCTCCGACCAAGCCTAAGCTTAATCTAAACTTGACACCGGCTTCCGGTTTCAAACCCGAGCATCGTCGAGGATCTTTTGATCCTTCCATTTTAAGAGAAGCAGACAAACGTCGAGGTTTGAAAGCCAACAGTCCTCCAACGAGTCCAAAAAGTACTCATACAAAGTGGATTCCTAAGTCTTACGGTTCATCGCAAGCAAGAGGTCTTCCTCCAGTGTAGATATTCTATATTATAAATCAGATTATGTAAGAACTAAATTTCAAAAATATTCCCTGGTACAGACACACTACACGAGAGTGTTATCTAATTAAGACGTGACTGAAGGATTTTTCTTCATATAGGTCGAATTCTTCACAGCTTGTTTTTCTCTATTATTGCGTCGCATACGAACTAAAAACCGTTGTAAAGGGCAGGTTCGGCTTTGCAGCACTTCAGAGAACAGCTAAGCATCAGCGGGAAAAATTACCCCACCAAACATTTCCAGGTCTTATTCTTACAAATAGTACCAGTTTGAGAATCAAGTCTGGGGAAAAGGTTTTATAAAGAGTTCTTCTTAGGCAGTACCACATTGAAGTCGTCAGTCAAACTAGAGAAACACGATTGATGCAGATATTAGGGAGATTCTTAATCACTGTCACGGTAAACGTCAAATTGTATCACGTGACCAATGGGGCTTACCATTTGTCAGAACCAGGGCGGACTAGCAAGACCCTTTCAGTTGTATAAAAGAATTCCATTATCAGTAAAAAAAAACTACAGACTAAAGCAAGATCAGTCCATTCCTAACTAGTATGCACGGCAGTAATGGGTTTAAGCGAAAATGTAGAGAAAGGATTAAATTTCATTACGGCAAACGGGAAACGTCAATTTGCACCACGTGACCAAGGATGCTTACCATCTGTCAGAACTTATCAAACCCGTTCAGTTGTTAAAAGAATTCCAGTATGAATCAGAAAAATACAGCCAGATCAGACTGCTCCTGAATAGTATGCACGGCAATCTGGGTTTTCCCGCAAGTTTAGAGAAAGGATTAAACTTTCGTTTTCAAACTGGCCGGTCCTGCCGGCCAATTTTGACCTATAAAAAGCGCGCGCAGTTTCATCTAAACCTTTCATTTACGGTTCGCTATGTCTACAAGTTGTCAGTAGTTAGTTGTTTCACACCAGTTTCATCCTCGAGAATTAGTTTCCACAGTTTGTGATCTGTTGATTTCCTACTAAATCTGACGTTTTCCATCATTTGCGGTAAACGTGACTGTAAATGTCTCTATCGGCGCAAATTATAGTGATATTGACTATAAAGTCAAGTCATTGGAAAGCTTACGCACAGTCGTTTTGGGGCGACGCACTTCAGCCGGAAGTAAGGACAAATAAGCTCCCCGTTATTTTGTGGAGGGTATTTGAGGAAGCGGCTGGGAAGAGTATTATAAGGACTCCGTTACAATAATAATCCATTCTTCAAATATGTAGCTGAGTGTCGAGTATGACTGTTTTTTGTGCAAGAAACTATATATTGAATTCCGTACTATTAGGGTGCTAAAAAGATAAAGATATCATAGTGAGCTTCTTCATCTGTCTCGAGTCTCTTGTCACGACTAGCTGGTTAAAAATAAAGAGTTCTAGACTGCGGGACAATGAGTGTATTATTTGTCTTA